CAGAGTGTTGAACTAGAAACTGTTGACACTTTCAATCGTCTTTCATTCATATTTAAATTTAACTTGACAATAATACCAGCTGAATCCAGCTCTTGCCTTGTATTAATCTGCAATGATGTGGTTACAATTGCATTCATACATTGTCTGTTGAAACTATGAATGATAGTCAATGATAAACTATGCTGACAGATGTGATGTGATGTCACAGACTCACAGGCACACATTTCTGTGAGACTGACAAATTAAAAGTGTACTTTCTTATTTTGAGACTGAAAAAAGAAACAAACAACTGCACAGTGGTGTTTTTATATAAAAAAAACATTTATTTGCATCCAAACGAAAAGATAACGTGGTTCATGTATGTTTATTACAGAGTAACAAAACAATAAACAATCTAGAAGTAGTGACTAGTGAAGCATGTGTACATGTAGAGAGAGAAGAGTGAGAAGGGGAGTGGTGGACAGAATGGTAGTATGGTACTATGTTAGAACTTAGAAGATGGGCGAGGTCAGAGGTGTCGGAGCCTTGGAGGCGGCATTGTGAATGCGAATGGATTCAAAGGATGTTTGGATCATAAGTGTGATTAGTGATATGTAGTATAAATGTAAATATAATTATAGGTACATGTATTAACAGAAAATTTGACACACTCATGGAATTAATAATGCATACAATTTACATTGATATCCCCATCCCCACAAATAAAATAAGAGTACATTATATTACGTATTTTTCGAAAATTTGAAATTATGAAAATGGCTCTGGAGCTTCAAAAAATGGCACTGGTAAATTTTTGACAAGTCAGAAAAATGGCTCTGGTGAAAAAAAGAGTATTTTTTAAAAGTATTCACCCTGCACTAATATTGCATATATCGGTACAGTACGCCAGTAGGTTGATAGTGGTCACGTTTGGCAGTGGCTAGAGATACGGCAGCCGTATCTCTAATTTACGAGGCTGGAGGTACGGCAGTCCATTCGCTTTCATACTTAACGAGACAAAGATGGCGGCGGATGGCGGCAGATTTCGAAATAACGCCTTGGGAAATATATAGTCACGATTTGAGAGTTTTGATGTCAGAGCTAGAAACACTCGGATTAGGTATGAAAGTGAACATTATTGTAAACTTGACATCAGAAAATCACAAATATTTGCTTCAGCCCTCAAACAAACACCAAAAAAGGGCTTCAACAAACGACGTCTGCCGTACCTCCAGCCACTCCGTTCACGTTTTTTATGTTGTGTGGCAGATTTTAAGTTTAATATCTGTTATTAAAGCTGATCTCTATTCAAAGTCAAAATTCAAGCATTTTTGATGCATTCCTCAGGGTAATGTAGAGCTCAGCATATTGGGCCGTCTGTGACCAAGTTTACTGTCAAATAACTACCTACTGTTTTCTAATTTCAATGCCCATTACCTTGTCAACCACATTTTGTAATCAGCCAAAACTGAGAATTCTACTGAAACGTTATTCTTATTATCGTCATAGAAGCTGGATAATATCTGACAACATAAATGTGAACAGGTTAGGCCATAATAAAAATATTATTTGTTTGCCCTCACACGACCGACCCACCAAAAAGGGACCGACTGAATTTTTTTTACTTTTTTAGCTCATCTGACATAGTCAGATGCAGCTTGTAGAATTGCATGATTGTCCGTGTGTCCGGTCGTCCGTGCGTCAACAGTTGGGCACAAATCTAAACGGCTCGACGTACGGTCACGATATTCGGGACGTGGGGGGGTAATCCGAAAACGAGTTGGGATGTTGAAGCTGGGGGTCAAAGGTCAAAGGTCAATGGGTGTAAAAGAAGGGGGAACATTCCCTCCTTAACTTAAGGTATAGAAAGGAAATGCAGAATTGCGGCACAAATCTAAACGGCTCGACCTAGGCTCGTGATAGTCGGTGTATAGCATCATGGTAGGAAAAGCCATCACTGTGCAGAAATTGGAGGTCACAGGTCAAAGTTCAATGGGGCACGGCAGATTTTAGACATTTTCTGAGGACATGGTCTGACGGAGCGATTTAAAAACTTTTTTGTTTCAGCGGTGACCTACCATTTTTATGGCTTTGTTGAAAGGACCATGAAATGTACTTTCTGCTGACAGTGACATGCGAAGAGTAAGTGTCTGATAACATTTTGACCCTCAAGAGGAGGGTTAAACATGGATTTGTTTACTGTTAGAAAGAATTTGACTGCCGGGTTTGCTAGTAGAATCTATACATGCCTGGATGTATGAGGCTACAATGTCACAATGAAATTTCAAAAGCTAAATTTGGTTGAAGAAGGTTTATGCTCCTTAAATCGTATAATTTCTATGGCATTCTGTACTGTCAGTGTGTTACATGCAACTTATGCCACTGCCAGTGGCCACTGCCAGTGCATGTGGTGGTGATAGTACTCTGTAGTTTTTGCCTGCGTTAATTAGTTACAGGTAGCAGCTCTCTATTTCAGCCTGTAGGCTTGCGTAGGTAAATGGATGAGTGCTTACCTATTCTGTCTTGCAAATAGTTGTTGCTACTACGTACGTTGGGAGCTACCATCTTTAATCTTAAGACACTTAAACGTACGCGCCATCTCGTGGCTACTTTCATAACGATCTCAACGAACATTCCTTCGAGAAGGTTCCTGATACCATCCCTGTGCCTTCCACTGTTTCGGCGCATATGTGAACACATATGGGACTAACAGGGTTTACTAGAATCCCACCACTCCACGACAGAGTCACCGCAGTAGACGTGAGATGAGCGCTGTCGCTCCGCGGCACTTGTTTTTACAAATTGTATCACTGTACATTATATAAATCTGTAGGCAATGTATTATATGTACCAAGCAAAATAAACATTCAACATAAAACTGGGTAGCTCCACACAAGCACACCCGAGCATGTAGACACCATGCTGAATTTGTAAAAAGACCCCTCAAAAAAGCGACCTACCTACCCAAACTTTTCAGCCTGTGTCGGGTGAGGGTAAACAAATATTTTTTTAATTGTGACTTTATGGTCACAGTACTTAGAAAGTTAGTTGGGATTTTTAACATAGAATTCATATTAGGACAGGTCATCATGTCAACATCATATATTGTCATTAATATTAATGGTACATATTTGAATAATACTAATAGTAAGAAATGTAATAAACACCCAAGAACACTTTTATATGGTTATTAGAATTAATAACTATGTTTCAGGGCTGAGCACTCATATGAAAATGTGTGACTTATATCTTACGTGAAATTCTATGTAGGTGCAATTCTAATTTGGTACTGGAAATTTTAGTATTTTAGAATGACTTATATGTAGCAGGTAGTAAAGTTTCATTGAAGTCATATTAATATGATTAGAATATCATGTACTCTCGCATACATAGGGCAACATTTTCTATAGCACAGTTTAACTTGCATATTGATGTCTGCACATTTACTATATATATTCAGGGTTTTCCCCAAGAATTCCCGAAAGCATGTCATTATTAGACAGATAAGGAAAGGGACTGGTAGGGGGTTGTACCAATTGGAATTAATGAACTCTGTTATAACCAGCGTCAATACACAGGTATACAGGTGCCAGTTTGGAGATGTATACATCAAGATTTGAAAACACTGCGCATGGCTCTGATCGGATCAGAAGTTAACACGGCTGGAAATTAAGGCTTGTCAATTAGGCGATTAAGGCATGTCGGATGATGTATGGGATGTCGCAAATTAGGTTCAGCTTTGAAGGCATTACGGACTTGAGATTCATGTATGGCCTGGAGAGAACCGTGATGTTCAAGATTGATAATTTAATATTTTATTTGAGAATTTCAATATGCTTAAAGAACATTATGCTTATATTATGCTTTAAATTGACTACGTCACGAATTTTCTATGGTTTACATTAAAAGTAAGAACTAACGGGACTAAATGTATTGTCAAATTCTTACCTGATAAGATTGTTTCTCAACTAGTTAAAAATCCAAAAAACCTGGACGATTTGATATTGTGTTCCTGACATTAATTGCTTGCTATGGGCTATGTATGAGTCACGAGTGTATGTTCACATCGAACAATATAGTAAAATAAGAGATATAATGCAGCAATTTCACCATAAAAAGTGAACAGAATGACATATTTTGTGAAAAAGTGGAAATATTTTTTTTATTTTTACTATTTACGGTGACGTAATCACTTTAATATGCTTTTAAGTCCATAGAGTGTGTTTCTTGTTACAGATTATATATTTGGGATTCACGGATTTACTTTGGCACTCACTTTAAAATATCAAAACTCAATAATGGAAGTGTGTGATAACACACCTCACTCTGAAAACTGTTTGGTCTACTAACTGGCTACTACAAGGGTCGTTGTAGCTTGATGTTTTGGATAATCTTACAGATAATTTGATAATAAGTGCTAGCATTAGCATTGCTCAATGTAAATATTAATTTTCAGTCTTGATAATATTTTTCAAGCTCAGGAATGTCACTACACATTGTAGAGTGAAAACTTTTCCTATGTAATGGTAACTTTCTAGTAGTTTCTACTCGTGATTATTTAAAGGAATGATTTCATAAATAACTGCACAACCAGGGGCTGAAAATAGTGGTTTTTGCTCGCAGGTCCGGGACTTTTCAGAAATACTTTTGGAAAGTCCGATGAAAGATTTGGAAGGTCCAAATATGTAACGTTTGTTTGGCTAATAGATCGTTTGGTAACAGTGGGTCCGTTTTTAGCTCACCTTGACATTGTCAAGATGAGCTATTGCCATGAGGTATCGTCCGTCGTACGTCCGTCCGTCCGTCAACATTTGGCTACGGTCAACGATAACTCAGGAACCGTTTGACCCACATGTTTCAAATTGCATATAGTTGTTACTCCTATGGGAGAGGTTTGAACATCCTATTTTCGAGCAACGTCCACTTTTGAGCAAAAATGGAAATGGCCATAAGTCAGTTCAGGTTCAACGGATTTTGCTCATTTCGGGTATGTGAATGAATAAGGACTGGCCCCAAAACATCACACGGGTTTTTATATATTTTTTAAATTATGCAAATTAGGTAGATTTTGGCAATTTCACCTGATGCATTTCAGTGTCTGCCTACGGTCAACGTCTTCAGATTGTATGCCAACAGATCTGAAACATTTATTTTCGCATCAAAAATTACTCATATATATATCATCATTATCAAGAGTATATAATGGGAGATATGCTATATAATGGGAGTTCTGCCATATTATATATACTCTTGCTTTTTATATCCCCCCTTCCTCTTCTATCACACCCAAGGTGAGCTACAGTGTCATTGACACTTTCATTTGATACAAAACAAAAATAAACTCATGTTTGCCCTTGTTTGATACAATACATGAGTCGTCTGCAGGCATTCCGAGTTACTCGCACGAGCGACGAGTTCCGGTATGCTGAAACTGCGAGCGCATCCACGTTAAAACTTCCGTTATAAACAACCATGCTACTAACGTTACAGCATGCGCTATCAGTACGTGTAATTTCGAGCAGATTTTCGGTAAATTTGACTCTTATACTTGGTATGTTTCATTGTGAATATTAAATATGATACTATAGATGTCGACAGTGACCAAAAATAAGTCTAATTTCGCCTTATATCTTCGCAATTTGCAATGGTTTAAGGATGTTTCGAAGACATGTTAGCCTAACCTTAGACACTTGCTGTTAGGCGAGCAATTCCAGTAAGTATTGTAGTGATCCGAAACATACTAGAATGGTCAGAAAGACTGTTTGATATCCTTAATTTAATCAAAATATTGCTAAGCTGCCAAAATATGGGTATGTACCACAACTTTGCACATGCAAATTTTGTTAGTGGCTATGTACAAGCTGATTCATCTCACTTGTAAAAATTATAAATTTATTTTTATAAAAGCTGTGAATTCGGGTGGCATAATAATACAATTAAGCTTTCAGAGATCAGGGTTTCTTATATATAAGAGGCACAGTGGCGCACCGCCGTTGTCAAATTTAACATCGCCATTGTGAAAATTTTACTGTATTTAATCATAAGTATATCCTGTATCTATGTACCTGGATATAGAAGTATATCAATATATATCCTGTATTTGAATCCATCATTCACATTTCCCCCCCCCCCCAAACCGGGCATTACCTCCTTTGTCTAATTTTCCCTCAGAAGAACCCCTGGAGATGCACAAGTTTGCCAAATTCAGTATCATATATATATATATATATATACTAGCCTGTCATCAAGCTTGGTAGAGATGTATTATCTCATTTTAGAATGCCTATGGAGCGCAAGCTGCTGGTCATGGAAACGATAGAAATTGCTGTATGGTTCGCCACATGAGAGAGAGAGAGAGAACAGTATTTACACCTAGACCATATTCCGTTGTTGAGCCTTTACAAGCAAGACAATCATAATAACAAAGGGAGGAACATAGTGAAAGCAGGGTTAGGCCTTTGGTAAAGTCTGCAGTTCATGTGAAATGAAATGTAAGAAACACTTAAAAAAAAATTTTAATTGTTGAAACAGTAGCTACAACTTAAAATGATTAGTGATTCTATCATGTGAATATTAATCGTTTCCTTATATTTGTGTGGTAAAAGATTCTGTGTCTGCATAAATTGGATATGTGATTGCATGGCAGCTTGGAAAGTAATGCTGCAGCTGGTACACTCACACCTAATATATCATAATGTACTTGTGAATGCACAGGCATATATATAACCAGCCACCCGTACTTTGTAACACTTCACTGTATGTTAGCATGTAAACAGTAATTACTTTTCATTTAAGCTTATCAACAATATTGCTATTAGGATTGGAATCTGGCTTCTGGCAGGCTACATAAATCTAATCAATGTTGCAGGCACAAATGCATTGAACTGATAATTACCTTTATATATATATATAAGGTTAAAAACGTTATATATTGCGGAAATGAAACTTGCTTACTATATCCTGTTTGTCTCGCAATGGGTGGTCAACAAGATAATTGGAGAACACAACGTTTCTTGTGCTACTGCAACACTTCGTCAGGTGATGCGGCGACGTTGCGAGTGGGGGTATATATAGTATATATACCCT